TGAGACAGGAGGATCAGGAGATGGGAGGCCAGCCTGCGCAACATAGTGAGACCCCGCCTCAAAATAAAACACAACCTGGAGACATATCTCAGTGGTAGAGCTCCCGGGTTCAATCCCCGGCACAGGGGAAATTTTCTCACAGTTCCAGAAAGAGAAGAAAAGAGAGGAGAGGAAGGAAAAGAGAGTTAAGGGAACATTAGCAGACAAAGGGTGAGGACTTTCCAGACAGAGGAAAAACATCATGGGGGGGTGCAGGGGGCGCTGGGGTTGTGGCTCAGCAGTAGAGAGCTCGTCTAGAATGTGCGAGGCCCTGGGTTCGATCCTCAGCACCACATAAAAATCAATAAATAAAATAAAGGTACAAAAAATTATTTAAAAAAAAAATCACTTCCATAGGTTCAAGAAGATTTATGAAGCCCAAGCAGGTTACACACAAAGAAATCTAACCCTGGAAGCCAGGTGTGGTGGCACACACCTGTAATCTCAGAGACTCTGGAGGCTGAGGCAGGAGAATCCTAAATTCGAGGTCGGCCTCATGAATTTAGACCCTGTCCGAAAATATAGAATAAAATAAAAAGGGATAGGGATGTAGTTCAGGAGCAGAGCGCCCCTAGGTCAGGTTCCAAGTGTGGGGAGGGGCAGTCTGTGCCCCTAACCACACTCAGTCCCACCCCTTGATTGCTACCCCTACCAGATTCCATTGTAAATGCCGCTCCCCTATTCCCCACCGCAAAAACAAAATAAAATATTCTTTTTTTAACTTTAAAATTATTTCACTAAAACAAACGGAAGAATCTGCTACTGTCCCTTTTCATTCCTGTAGAGACGCAGAAGTTAAAGGACAGGTGTTCTGTGCACCTGTGCTTCTCTCCAACCTCCGGGCTGCCCACCCTCCAGAACCCCCTAGAAAAGCGGACCGTACGCCCTTGCCTGAGCAGCCGCTCCCCGCAGCCTGGAGCCCCTCTGCCCACTGAAACAAGACCCCTCCCTTCGGGGCAGCACTGACTGCACCCAGGTCTCCTGGCCTCCAACGGACCCTCGCTTGACTTTGCTTAGAGTGGGCGGGTCTCAGGTGAAGTTGATTGCTGGGCACCAGAAGATCCTTCTGCCTTAACCTCCTCTGAGCGCCAAGATCTATCTCCAGGGCTGTGACCCTGTGCGCCAGCCCTAACACGGTTGACCCCTCTGCAGGGGCCCAAGAAAACCTACCCCGCGCCCCCCGCCCCCCGCCCCTCCCGCGACTCTCCCCCAGGAGCCCTGCTCTCTGCCCGCAAGAGGGCGCTGTCTCCGCGCCCCAAATTGTCTGCCCCTGGGCGGCGGCGGGGAATGGGGCGAGTACTTTTCCATGGAACTGAATAGCGCCGAGATGTGGACCTTCCTGATAACCCCGCAGGGTGGCGAAGGGGAGGCAACCCTGGGAGGAAGGGTTCCAAAAAGGTGCGGCTCTCAGCGGCTTACCGATCCCCGACCAGTGGGCTTAGTTCCACAAAGTTGCACAGGGAAGAGGGGAGGGGAGTAAGAAGGAAGTGGTCTCCATCTGAGGTTGAGATATTTTTTCCCCAGGATATAGGGAGAAACTTGCCCTGTTTGGACAAGGCCTAGAGGCAAGGAATGTCGAGTAAAAAGCCTCTTAATCTCCCCGACCCCACCCTCCTGCCTGAAAACACTGATGCAGACAATAGACAATAAGTCAATTAGTCATCTTCTCTGAAGAGAGCTGAGGACTTGGGTTGGCTCCAGTGGGATGGCTGGTGATTCATTCAAATGAAACTTCAGGGATCGGCTGGGTCAATATTAACAGAAGCTGCGTTTGGCCCATCCCAGGGACCCCTATTGTGCCCCATGTGTGAGCACCTCATGATTCACAAGTTCATGGGGCTGCCAGCTCCTCAGGCCACGACCCCCAACATAAAGGACCCCATCTCTGAACGCAGGGAGAGAGAATTCTAGTGGGCTTCTCCAAGGGCTGGTGATGGGGCTCAGTGGTGGAGCACTTACCTGGATGCTTGAGGCCCTGGGTTTGACGCCCAACACCATGAAAATATAAAAATAAAAAAATAAAAATGTGCCTCTCTACCTGCAACTGGAGCATGAGTAGCTTCAATCAACTCTACAGTCTTTAGTGGTCTCAGAAACCACCTCAGACCCGGACTCATGCATCTCAGATGTGCCAGCTACGCCCCACCTCCCTATGGTGACAGAGTGGATTGGCCCCACCCCAGGGCCCATCCAGCACTTCCCCTGTCACCACACCCAGAGCAAAACATGTCTTCAGGGAGCTGTTAGGACGATCTCTGTCCCACTTCTAGGGACCCCAAGCTCCCTCACAGCCCAGACACCATTTCCTTCTCCAGTCTCACCCTAGGTCTCTACTGGAGATCATTTGATGGCTTCCCCAAGGCAGGGGGGGGGGCAACTTTTCTAATTCACATAAAGTCTCCTTATGAGCTTGCAGCAGCCTTACCAGGGCAGATGGCCAGTGAGTCAGTCCAGAGGTTAACAAGGAAGCAGACTTCCTGATGGCTGGTACAGCCAGACCAAAGAGGAATCAGAAATCATTGGAAAGCCATGACACAAGGATAGATTCAACAATAACAAAAAAAAAAATTTATTGTGCAATTACCCACCACTGGATTGGACTCAGACAAGCCCCCAGAGGGCATCTCCACCTTCCCAATTTATTTGTAGTCCTTGAGGGCATCATTGTAGATCAAAGCCAAGGCCCCTAGGAAGGTGACATACTCCTGGAAGTTCACCTCCTGGTCCTTGTTCCGGTCCAGGTCTTCCATCAGCCTTGAAATTTCAGCATCCTGCAGCTTCTAATGTGTTAGAATGGAAAGTGCAGACTCAAGGAGGAGCCCCTGGGTGCTCTCCCTTCCTCCCTCCCAGGCAGCTCTGCTCAGGGACATCCACCTTGGGTTCAGCTTGGCTTTACCTCTCTTCAGTCCCTGCTCCTCCCTTGAGGGACTGAACACCAGGACAAGACTATCCCGACCCCGGGAGGGAATGGATCTTCAGCTCAGGGAGGCCAGCGGCCCAGGGCCAGATGGCTGAGTGGGCAGAGGGGCCTGGGGAGAAGGCTACTCACGGCGCCGATGGAGAGCTCCTTCTGGATCAGTTCCTTGAGCTCCTTCTTGCTCAGGGTGCTCTTGTCACCCTCCCTGCCCGAGTACTTGTGGAAGATGGCCACGAGCAGACCAATGGCCTGATCCAGGGGGCACGCCATGACTGGGGGCTGGACCTAGAGCTGGTGACAGAAGGGCTGGTTAGTGTCACAGCACCAGGGACTTCTTGCTCACCACACACCCCCAGAGCTCTGTCCCCACGACCTGCCTGAACCACCCAGCCTCAGGCCACACACAGGTGGCATCAGGAGGCAGCGCAGGAGAGGTGGGAGCAGACTGAGGCCAGGGGACAGCGCCCCAAGAGGCCACCGCGGGGGAACAGAGACGGTTCAGGGTTCTGAGGAGCAAACGGGCCGATGGCTTAGATCAGGCCAAGGACTCGTCTCCAGGATATCCAGAAAAAGGGAAGGGGATGGAGGCTGCCCTCACACCTCGCAGGGCCACACACTGCGACAATGACACACCCAGGACACACCCTCCCGCACCCCAGGAAAGCACACTCGGTGCCGCCCCCGGGGCTGCCTGGCACAGCCCGCCTCTCCCTGCTGTCCCTCTGACCCAGCACCGCGGACCCGGCCAGTGAATCCCGACCCCGACGGGGAGGCAGGGGGTGGCGAGCGGGGACGGCTGGCCCCGAGCGCGAGCCGGTCCTAGCAGGACCCCTGCGCTGTCCCGGCGAGAACTCACCACGATCGAGGCAGCGGAGCAAGATGGGAGCAGCGAGGGGACGGGCTGTGTCGCAGTCCCGCTGGCCTTATAGCGGCCGGCCGCATCCGGGAGGCCGGCTGGGGACAGCCCACCGCCCCACCCCGCCCCGCCCCAGCCCGCTCACACAGCACCGGGTCCCCTCGATGTCCACGCCCAGGGCTGTTCCGGGTAGGACGGGATTGAGAAAGCCTAGCAGCCGGACTAGGGTGTCGAGGGGAGACCACTGCAGGCCAGGTGACATCAGAGTTCCCCCCAGATTTTCATAGTTCACTTTGCCCTTCGTGGTCTATGACAGGGCATGGAGAGGGAGGTCCCGGGGAGGCGGTGGCCGCGGACCTCCCTGCATCTTCCGCAGCCACCGGCCTGCCAGTGCTTGAATGTGGTCCTAAAGTAGCGACCGTGTGGGGAGGGGGAGAGGGAGGGAGGATCTCACAAGAGACTGGTGTCCCCCACCCCCTCAGGGTGATCAGGGTCAATTTTAGAGGAGGGAGAGGGTGCAGCCAGGGGTCGCAAGATGATTCAAAGACTCTAGATCACCCGTCCCCACCAACAACAAATTCCTCTCAATATCAACACTCCACCCCCCCACCCCCACCCCTGGAATTCCACTCCCACAACCGTCTCACGTTGAACTGCACACCCGCCTGAGCCAAGTCCTGCCCCCCCGCATTAGTTACTCACTCTTGAGTGAAAAGTTTTCCAGATCCTCTCTTGAGAAAAAAATCTAGAGGGGGGGAGGCAGAGGGAGAAGAAAGTACTGGTCCCCAGAGACAATTGGGGCAGGGGAAGAATGCTTCTGAGAGGGGATGCAGCAGAGGGAAAGGGCTGGAGCAGAGCCAGACTGTCCCATGAGCTAGCCACAAGCCAGAACTGATTGTCATCACTGCCTTCTGAGCCACACCCAGCGCTCCGGCCTCTTCACTCTCAAAGTACTTTCTCTGTTAGTTTCCTCTGCTTTTCTGCAGCCTGCAGAGAGCATGCAAAAGCCTCCGTGTTTTTCAGGAGGGCAAAACTAAGCCAGGACAAGCTCCATGACAGCAAGTGGGGTGGGCGCTCAGGACCCTAACACGCAGAAACTGTCTCCACTCACTAACGGAGGACAGCTACGTGCCCTTTCCCACCCACACCAGAGGGGACAAGACACCTTCAAGAACAGCCTCCAGACACTTGAGATGGAAAATCTTTATTGCCTCTGCTGGAAGAGTCTATCAGGAAGGAAGAGGAGGCTCAGGGGCCAAAGAGGGCTGTCAAAGGAGCTAGAGAGGTCAACAGCTGTGGCAAACAGAGAGGGCAGAGGGGAGCCCCCATCATTGGTTGTCCTCCAGGAAGAAGTCATTGTAGGCCATGCACAGCGTGGTCAGGAACACCGAGTACTCCTTGAAGTCAATCTCCTGGTCGCTGTTTTTATCCAGGCTCTTCATCAGGTCGTCGATGCTGCTCTCCTTCATCTTCTGCAAGGGTCCAGGTGGAGGAACAGCTCAGAAACCCCTCCCCGTCCTGCTCCACTATGCAAGGCACCCTCAATGTGATCCCCAGCTAAGTCAGCACCCCTGTATGCATGCTGATCCCCCGAATCTCCCCCCACCAGCCCACACCTGGCTCAGGGCCTGGCCCCCAGTAGGGATCAGTGACCTGACTCCTGACTCCAAATAAATTACAATAGGAAAGTTAGCCTAGTCTCTCCCTCCTGCACACCTTCCCCTGTTAGAGAAGTGATGACCTAAGGCTGGGGATGTGGTTTAGTGGTAAAGCTCTTGCCTAACATGTTTGAGGGCCTAGGTTTGATCCCCAGGATTGCAAAAAATAAAAGCAAAGGACTAGCCAGACATGGTGGCACAAGCCTGTAATCCCAGCTACCTAGACTCTGAGACAAGAGGATCACAAGTTTGAGGCTAGCCTGGGCAACCTAGCAAGACCACGTCTTAAAATAAAAAGGGGCTGGGAATGTAGCTCAGTCATATAGCACCCCATGTTCAATCCCTGCTAATGCAAAAATCATGATCGTCCTCCACATGCTAATACCTAATAAAAAACAGCTTAAGGATCATGTGACACTGAGCATCATCTAAATCTCAGACTTATTCTGTCCTGTTTGTTTGTTTGTTTGTTTTTGCCATGCTGGGGATTGAACCTACGTGGGCTGTTCCACTGAGTGGCTGTTCCACTTTTTATTTTCAGACAGGACCTCACTGGATTGTGCAGGTTGGCCTCCAACTCGGGATCCTCCTGCCTCAGACTCCTGAGTTGCTGGGATTCCAGGTGCACCCCTGGCAGTAGTCTGTCTCCATGAGAACAGTACATGGAAGCTGAGAAGCCATTCTGTGCCTTCCCCATGGGAGAGCTGGACTGAAGCTCAGCCTAGCATTGGGTTGTGCTGTCTGTCTGGTCCCCTGTCCTCTCACCCTGCTTCCACCAGAAGGGTGGAGACAGAGCCCTCGGGATGGACCAGGAGGGAACCACAGACAGGCAGATGCTGCCTTCCCCCGTCTTTGCCCTCAGCTCCACATCTTCCGAGGATCCAGGATGCCGGCACATGTGGAGATGGAAACTACCTCTTTGCAACAGGGTCCTGGTTCTTCTCTGGGCTCCTGTGATAGCTAGGCCCTCCCCTGGGACTCTGTCCCCCAGTAACTAACCCCTGATGAGCTGGTAGCCCCTGCCTCTGCCCTCATCAACTCCAGAACGGTGAGATCCAGGCAGGAAGGGCTGAGAGCAGACTGGGGACACCGTCCCTGCTGCCTCTTCTGCCCATGGGGGCACCGCTCTAGGGAACTTCTCTCTGGGGCCCTCCAGAGTTCAGGATGTGACAGAAGGATGTGTCTCCTTCCTACCCTGTGTTCCCCGGCCTCCAGGCCAAATTGTAAAGGAAAAAGGGAGGGTAATGCGCAGGACTGCCCTGGAACTGCAGCTCAGCCTCTCTCTGGACAAATTCCATGTAAGTTTCTAAGCCTTGATGTTTTTATTCCTCCCCTGCGTGGTACTGGGGTTTGACCCCCCAGGGATGCCCGACCACCAAATTACATCCCCAGCCCTTTTTATTCTTTATTTTGAGACAGGGTCTCACTGAGTTGCCCAAGTTGGTCTTGAACTTGTGGTCTTCCTGCCTCGACCTCCTAAGTCTCTGGGATTACTGACATTGCGCCACCACAACCAGCCTGAGCCTTGATTTTTTTTTTTTTAACTGTAAAAATAAGATGATGTCTACTCGTGGGCCTTCCCCTCTGTCTCGATCACCTCCCTTCTACCTTCTCCATCTGATAATAATCAGCTCTGTCTCCTTCCTACCCTATGTTCACAAATTAATCCTTAATCTGCAGGTCAGCACCATCTGAGAGCCATGGCTCTGCCAGGCACAGCACACAGAATCAGGCAGGGTCCCCCCTTGACCTAGATACCTGGCACTTTCACCCTGCAGGATTCCTAGCACAGGCTCCGCCACTTCTGTCACAGCCTGGCCCCACCATCAAGAAAGCATCCAGGGCTGGGGCTGGGGCTCAGTGGTGGAGCGCTTGCCTTGCATGCATGAGGCACTGGGTTCCATCCCCAGCACCACATAAAAAGCTAAATAAACAAAATAAAGGTATTGTGTCCATCTACATCTAAAAATGTTTAAAAAAGAAAAGAAAAGAAAGTATCTGCCTCTGATTTTATAGCCCTTGCGCAGGCTTGCGGTGTAGCCCAGGCTCGGCCCTTCTCCTTCTCAGCAAGCCTGACTCATGCCCAGCACAGAGATCTAGAACTCTGTTAGCTTGAGAAGTCCACCCTCTTCCTTCTGTCTCTGGCCGTACCTTCCAGCCATCCCCACCCCTGGCTTAGACCTGAGTCCCCCAAGGGCAGATTTGTGACTTTGTTGCGGGGGGTGGTGAGAAGAAATGGCCACCTACCTCCCCAAGACTCAGCTCCTTCTTGATCAACTCCTTTAGTTCCTTCCTACTCAGGGTCAGCTTGCTACCCTCTCTCCCCGAATATTTGTGGAATGTGGTGACCATAGTGGTCAGGGCCTTCTCAAGTGGAGTCTCCATCACAGTGTGCAGCTCTAGAGTGGAGAGAGGAGAAGTCATAGTGCTCAGGAAGCCAGACCTCTGTCCACCATCATCACTAGCCCACCCAGAGCCCCTCCCTCAAAGGATTGGGGACTGGAACCCATGATAAGACCCAAATCCAGCAACAGAAGGACATTACAGTGAGACTGGCCAGCCCCCAAAGGAACTGCGGACTCCTCCACTAGGGAGATGTTGACAAAGGGGGCTAGGGGCAGAAAGAGGACAGATGACCTCCCCAAAAGAGCTAGTCACAGATAGTAGAGCAGAGAAGGGGCCAAGGTTTCTTCTCTGCCCTGTCCAGCCTGAGCCCTGGTTTTACCTCCTCTCCTCCAGCACCTGAATCACCTGATATCAAGGAAGGTCTTGCTGTAAAGTAGGGGACAGGGCAACGGGTGTCCGAGGGTAGGAGGGGTTGGGGCTGAAAGCTCATAACAGGAAGCAGGAAAGAGGTGACTGGACTTGCCTGTCTGACCTCCAGGCTCAGGCCAGTGACTTGTACCCAGGAGGCATGGAGGCCAGAGGACTATTGACGTCTAACTCCAGGGTCTTTCTGAGACCTGGACCAGAGGTGGGGTTGGAATGGGGGCCTCAATGCTGTCAGCACAGCCACCCCTCCAAGGTAGCTAGAGCCTCTGCAGCTCAGACTCAAAACCACTTCCCCTCAGGGAAGGAGGAGGCCCTACCCAGGGAACTTGAGCAATGCAGGCCGACCTGGTGGAGAGCCCTTAGCCAGGAGGAGGAATGTCTGGCTCTTGCTTCCAGCCCGAAGCCCACCCGTCAGTCCTTGAGCTGGACCCCTCATTCATCTCCCACCTCCCCAAATCCTCATCTTTCCCCCCCACTCCGGGAGGCTCAGCCAGGACATGATTGCAGTCACAAGTCCCAGCACTCTGCCCTCTCCTCCCGGAGCACACACCCTCTTGCACAGCCGGGCCTTCCTTGAGGAGGTCTCCGTGGCTGGTCACCCTGCGACCTCGTCACCCAGCTCAGGCCAGCAGAGGTGAACAGAGAGATCAGAAGGAGGGACTCACCAAGGAGGGCACGAACCCGAGGAGTGCAAGCAGCAGCCGCCACCTCCCTCCCCGGTTCTCTGCCTTTATTCCCTGGCTCCCAGTGCCCAGGGGATCAGGGAGAAAAGGCCAAGGAGGAGGGGTCAGGGACGCGAGGACACCCAGCAGAGCCTCCTGGGACTCGACTGGGGAGAAGCCCCTGCTGCACATTTGCCTTCCTTGTTTACAGGTGGGGGGCAGGGAGGGGGCACACATATCTACAGTTCCAGAAACGTCATTTTTCTAACCCAAAACCAGAACTCACCATCTGATAGAGCAATAGGCAGAAGAAGGGAAGTCGGGCTGTTTTGGAAAGAGAAGCCTAGAAGGAAGGAGCCAAATAAAAGGTATCTCCCCAAGGCCGAGGGCAACGCTCCACATTGGAACCCGCCCTACCACCCTCTCCAAGAGCAGAGGAGACACCTGGAGATCCCTGACTGTCAGTGGAGGAGGTATTTCCTATAAGTCAGGATCATTAGCTAGCATGGGGCCAAAGATTTTATTTGTTTTGTTTTCTTGTTTTTTGTACTGGAAATTGAACTTAGGGTGCTTCACCACTGAGCTACATCCCCAGTCTTTTTTATTTTGAGATTCTTGCTAAGTTGCCCAGGCTGGCCTCCAAATTGCAATCCTCCTACCTCAGCCTCCCAAGTTGCTGAGATTACAGGCATGTGCCATTGTTCCCAATAAGCCAAAAGTTTTTAAAGGGCTCTTAAATGAATGATTTTTTTTTTTTTTAAACTTCACTAAGAAATTCTTCATGGGAAAGAATTGTTGGAGACGCTGGGCAAGGAGGACTGAGAATCAGGGATTGGGGAGCGGATCCAGGGAAAGGTTAGCACTGTGTGATGACGTAGAGGCTGTGGCTAGGAGAAGGGGTCCAGGTTCAGGGTGCAGTCGTGGATGGGGGGTGAATGTCAGGGAGGGTTACTCAGAGGATGCAATACCACCAGGCCAACTGATTGTAACAGAATGGGCGAGGGGCTCAGTACCCACCACTGCTACAGTCCTACCCTGGCCTGCCCGGATCTTCCTGCTGCCCCTACACCACCCCACCCCCGGCTGCAAGGCTAGTGAGGCAGCAGGGACTGGTTGCTCAGCAACTGGAGTTTCCAAAGTAGAAAATGATGCAGGAGGAGGCTCAGGGGAGGGCCTCCCAGGAAAGATGGCAGATTGACTCGGAGAGAGAGAGCAGGGGAGGAGGCGGTTTTTCCTGGACCAGCCTCTGTCGTCAAATTCCAGGGGAATATCTGAGTCACCTGCCACACTCCTCTGAGGCCGGAGAGAAAGGCCCAGAGTGATTAGAAGGGAAGCCTTAGAGGTCAAGAGGACCCAACCCTGCAGCCTCTGGGCTGGACTTCTATGCACCCCTTCCTTAAAGGTCCCCGTATCATCCAGAAATAGCTTTGAAATCCAACTTCAGTCTCACTCACTGTACCCCCAAGTCACTAGCCTTTAGCCTACCCTAAGGGAAAGCAAGAGCAGACCTCTTTGGGGGCAGGGGATCTCAATTTCATTCATCAGATCATCTGTCTGGGATTTTATCTCTAAAGCTATGGTCATTTCCCCATCATCTCCCTCACTCCTACCCCCTCACTATCCCTCCCTTGGCCCTTCTGAGGCACCTTGTCCATCTGTGAAGGAGCCTGATAACAGATCCCCCCCCCCGACACTCTGGGGGCAGATACAGTGGATTGGAGCACTACCATATTCTCATGCCACTGCTGACCGTCTCCCTCCACATGGCCCTCCCTGATCCAGCCATTGACGGGAAAGGGACAGAAGTAATCCTTCCCTGTGGTTCAGAACCAATGAGCTAGAAGGGTAATAGAACAGGGCCAGGAGCCAGTCCCAGCCCACTCACCCCACAACTCCCTCCCTATGACTCAGCCCTATTGTCTTCCCTCCAGACCCCAACCAGGAGCAGATGTGACCTTCAATCCCAGCCTCAGTATGAAGTTGGAGGGTGGGGGGGCTGGCTAAGATCCCACAGCTGGGGCTTCCCCAACCTCTGGTGGCCCCTCTCCCTGCCTCAGCTCTACCCAGCATTCACACACGCGCGCGCACACACCCCTCTGTCACCCCACATTCCCCCCCAACGTCACTAAACTGCAGCTCAACTCCCAGTGCTCCCCTCGCCCACCCCACGCAACATATCCCTCGGCCTCGAGAGTCCCTCAGATCATCAGCCTTATAGCTTCCAAATATTTTTTTATTGAACTTGCTCAGGGTTCTGCACCACGGCATGAACTCATCTGCTGACCTGGAAGACCTCTTTGGCAGACCTCTACCCCCAGCTGCATCGGAGGAACCTCTACTTCTTCCGGGGCTGCTTATCAGGGAAGCCTTCAAAGAATTCGTTGCACATCATGGCGATGCAGGACAGGAAGACGCAGTACTCCTGGAAGTCCACCTCGTTGTCCCTGTTGCTGTCCAAGTTGCTCATCAGCTTCTGGAATGCAGCTTCGTCTGTCCTTTTCTGGAGGGAGAGAAGGCTACGGTAGAAAACAGGAGCCCAGGGAACAGAGCCAAGACTAGACCAGCTTTCCACCTCCAGACGGGGGTGGGGGGGAGGCTCCTGGGGGAGGGATTCTGAGTATGTGTTGTAACTGGGAAATGAGGGGACCACATCTTCACCCAAGATTGTTCCAATGATTCAATCAGATGATGGTCCTGAAAGCAATGTGTTTGCAGGAGAAGTCTGTAGGTGTGTGTGTCTCCATAATCATGCCTTCACAGATAGAACACCGTTCATTGTCGCGTGGCAGGAGTCAGACAGTCCTGGTTCTAGATCACATTCTTTTTTTTTTGTACTGGAGAATCCAGGGATGCTCTACCACTGAGATACATCCCCAGACCTCTCTCTTGTTTTAAATATTTTTTTTAGTTGTTGATGGACCTTTATTTAATCAATTTATTTATATGTGGTGCTGCTAGGAAAGCCCTCTACCACTGAGCCACCACCCCAGGCCCAGACCTCTTTATATTTTTAAGTCAGAGTCTCCCTAAGTTGCCCAGACTGGCCTCAAATTTGAGACCTTCCTGCCTCGACCTCCCAAATCATTGGGATTATAGGTGTGCACCAGTCTGGATTGCCACCTTGTAAGTAACTACCTTGAGAAGTCACTTACCTCTTTGAGACTTAGTTTTCCCTTCAGTAAATTGTGCAAAGTGTGTGCAGAGTCTGACCTGTCACCTGCTGACTCACTCCCGACCCTCTCCCTGCTGGGGACCACTGAGGTAGCCGGATGTTGACTGTGTTTCTAGGCCCCCATTTACCCAGCTTAGTGACAGGTGCCAGCTGGAGCTAATGCAGGGCGCCGCCCCTCCTCCTGGGGAATGCCCCACAGGAGGGCATACTCCCAAGCAGGACCCACTCACCCCCAGGAAGCTGGGCAGCTCCCGGGTCAGGAGATCCTTTAGCTCTGCCTTGTTGAGCTTGAACTTGTCACCCTCTTTGCCAGAGTACTTGTGGAAGGTGGACACCATCACATCCAGGGCCTTCTCCAGGGGGCAAGCCATGGCAGCAGTCGGGACCTGGGGGCAAACCTCAGCAATGTACCTAGAACCCCCACTCCACTCCCACTTCGAGGGGCACTTGGTGAGACTCTACTCCCACCCCCAAGGGACCCCGAAGAAGCCGGCTCAGCTCCTGGTGCAGAAGAGGTGCACAGTGGGGAACACGTGCTTTGGGCAGTGGCTCTGGAGATCCAGGCAGCAAGCCCCTGGGCCTCCCTCCAGCCTGGCCTCAACAACAGCGTTTTTTTCCAGCCCTCTGCCAGCCACAAGTGCCCCGCCCCGGCTCATTCTTCTCCCTCCCAGCATGGGCGCGGCTGCTGGAGGCCTGCCCAGGGGCCTGCAGCGGAAAAAACCAGCTGCCTACTGCCTAGTGCCCAGCACCCAGCACGGGGACGGGCAGGAAGAGGTGGCAGAGGTGGGGGTGCAGGGGAGGGGACGGAGGCCGAGTTCTCTTGGGCTGGGCTGCGGGATGCAGGCAGAGGCAAAAGCCCACAGGTGCCTTCGCTTTGCCTCCCACACCCGAGTGTGCACACAAGAGCTTGTGCAACCCAGAAGACACAAGCCGGCGGGCCAATCATGGGGCACACGCACCAGACACACTGTGGCAGCAGCACATCCAAGCCCTGGCCCCTCAGAAGCTCTCTGAGAGCTCGAATCCAGCCACCTACCCCCGTTTTCGTTTTTTCACTCTCTCACACACACTCGTGCACACACGTCCACGCGCGCGCACACGTGTGCACGCACACCAGAGCCTCCACATCAGAATCTCACATCTGGATCCATTTAGTACATCTGCCCCCCCACACTCTCCCCTTCTCCTACCCCAGCCTCGGCCTCGGACACCCCTTGCCTGCGGGTCAGGCCACACCACTCACCAGACCAAGAGAGGAAATGCTGGGGAGAGCTGTGGGGAGAGCCCAGCAGTCTGACCTATTTATACCCAGCCAGGCCCTGCCCATGCAGGGGATGGGGGGGAGCGGAAACTGCCCTCCTGCTGTGGTAAGTGCCACAGCCCCCTCCACCAGGGCGGGAGCCAAGCTTCCCCTCCCCGGGGCGCAGATGGGCACGGGATACACCGGCAGGGACCCCCAGAGGGTGGGTACCACCCAGTGTCCACAACTTAGCCTGAGTGTCAGGGGGTTGAAGACAGGGCAGTCTGTGCCGAAGTGTGGGGACAGGGAGGGAGTAGCCCACCAGATAGGAAAGGAGAAGCCATTCCCACACGGTGACAGGTGGGTGGCGGCCCAGGAACTTGGGAGGGGAGCCCAGGCCAGTGTGGTGGGACGGCTTAGTAAGCTCTTCTTCCCTCCCCAACCATGATGGCGGTGGTGTAGTGTGGGGGAGCAGGTCCAGGAGGGGATGGGACACCCCAGGTATTTCCATGGGAACGCTCCTGGGGGAGGTGTGGTGGAGTGGTGGGTGGGAGTGAGCTGTGGGACCCAGGAATGGATGCAGTGTTCAGAGAAGGGGTCAGGAGGGGCCGTTAAAGATTAGGATGGGTGTCAGGAATAAAGAAGCCAGGTGGCAAGGGGAGCTAGTGGTGGGCAAGAAACGGGTTAACCTCTCAAGGTGCGGCAGGCAGGAGCTCAGGATTGAATAGGACCAATAGTGGGCATTAAGGCCCCCAGGGGACTGTGGTTTCAGGGGTGGGGTTTGTCTCAAAATACCCCCCTCCCATACAGAGAAGCTTCCCTGGCTGGGAGCAAACACCTCAGACACCCTAATCCTATTAGTGCTGCCCTCTGGGCTCCTACAGCCCCACCCCACCCCCTGGGCCCCACCCTCCTCCTGGGAACATCTGGTCATAAGGGTTCAGTTTCGCCCCCTGCACCCCCCCACGACCCTCCCTTTTTGATAGCCCAAGACAGGGGGGCTTCTCCCTCAAAGATGAGGCAGAGGGACTCCCCAGGGTCCCCTGGATGGGAGTGACCCCCCCCTCCTGCTGGACCATTGAGACCGGTGCATCTGCAGCCGTTGAAACTGCCCTCAGGGCCCGTGGGGAGCTCCAACTCCCGCCCTCAGCCTCCTTCCTCCAGTGGAAAAGTCCAGAGAGGAGCAAAGAGCTCAGCAGCACTCTGTCCCAAGGCCCAGCATGTCCTCTCAGAAGAATCAACCGACCAAGCTGACACCAGTGCTTTATTAGGGTTAGACAGGCCCTTCCCTCCTGGCATCGTCTGTGCACACCCTGGTGGGCCTGGCCTCAGAGCCCACCCCTCCCGTCCACAGCAGGGAGGCAGCGGGGGTTGATAGCTGCCCCCCCACCTCGCCAGCTGGGCATCTGGGCGTCCTGGGAAGGTCTCTGAGCCTTGCGGGTAAAAGAGTGACAGGAGGAAGGACAGGCAGGGCGTGGGAGACTGCCCATGGCCAGCCCCGGAGGGGGGGGGGAGGGGGCTCGCCACTGGGGGGAGGGGGGCTCTGGGCAGCAGTCCTTGAAGTACTCGTGGCAGTAGAGACAGAGGCAGGCCAGCGAGCGCACGTACTCGGCGAAGTCCACCTCGCAGTCCTTGTTGGTGTCCAGGACACTCATGAATTTATTGTAGTCGCACTCCCGAAACTCAGTCTGTGCCAGGGAGGGATGGGAAGGGATGGGCGAGCAGGATAAGGAAGGCAGAAGAGCCCCGCGCATTGCTTCCCCTCCGCCCACAACCCACAGCCTCCTGGGGACCAACCTCAGCCTCCCTCTCCTGGTGAGGAACACGCCCGTTTCTGTCCCCCTTTCTCAGCCGTTTACCCAGGGCCTGCCCTTCACTGTCAAGCGCCTCCCCAAACCCTGCAAAGTAGCAGCAGTGACTGTCATCCCATTTTATAGATGAGGAGACAGAGGCTTGTGCTGTGTCAGTTCCCCTCCTCCCCAAGCCTGTCCTCTGCCCGCTTGCTGCCCGGTCCCTCTTTGCAAAGTTCAAGCAGAGCCTCTCTGCTGTCAGGGAAGGGCGGGCAGCCCAGGGCTCACCGGGGTCCAGGTGGGCATCTCCTTCTGCAGCAGCTCCTTGAGCTCCGACTGACAGAGCTTGTACTTGTCCCCGCAGCGCCCTGCATACTCCTGGAAGGTGCACACGATGGCAGCTACTGCCTGCTCCAGGGGCCGCGTCATCCTCACTGTCACAGAGCAAGGATGTGAGCTGCAGCAAAGGCCAGCCAGCCCCTCTGCTCGCCTCTGCCCGCGGAACTTCCCAGGGACCCCTTCCTGGTGTTTCCCAGGGCTCTTCCCGACGTAATCTCCACCAGGCTTCAGGACCCCCAAGCTCTCCCTCCTCCGAGCAGCCCTCCCTGACCACACTAGTTCCCTTCCGGCTGTCCCCATTGTGATTCTCCTGGACCAAGAGGTCTCACTTCCCAGCGTCAGTGCAAACTCCTCGAGGAGAGACTGACTCACCCACCACCCTCACCCCCTTAGCGGAGCTCCCTGGGGTCTCCCTGACACTTGCCCACCTTCTCTGACCCACAACACCCACAAATGGCTCAGTCCCCTGCTCGGCGTCACCTGCTCCCACCCTAGAGGTCTCAGCCCCTCAGGACCCCAGAGTCCCTTCCTGAAGGAACCTGAGTAGGAGGTCCTTGCCCTCAGGCCCTTGGGAAGCAGAGCAAGGGCAGGGAGGGTCCAGTCTGAGAGGAACTCCAGACCTGCTGCCTCCTGCCCTGAACTCAAGGAAACCGCAGTCAAGAGAAACCCTGGGAGCCTCTGCCCCGGCCAGCGAGCACCTGGGCGAGCCATTTCTCCCTCGGGTCTCCGAGGCCTTAAGGTGGGCTCAGTCCCACCCACAGGCCTAGCAGGGACATGAACCAGAAGGTCTCTGGGGAGTTGGCCTGCTCAGGGATTTACCAATCTGTGACCGGCCTTCCGTGGTGGAGGCCATCCCTCAGACCCCTGGGGGGCCTTGAGATAGAAGACCCAGTTCTGATGGAGGGGAAGCCATCCTGGCATTGCTCCCCTCCCTAAATCTCACTGCCCCCTTCCGTGCCCTTCCAGAATGATTGCTGCAGCCGAGGGAAACCCTGGGCAGCCAGGAAGACGAGTTGTTTCCACGTGAGCCCAGTGACTCACTCCTGCTTCCCCAGGGGACGGGATCCTGCAACACGGGACAGACAGGGCAATACTCTCTCCCCAGCCAGTCCCCTTCTGCTGGAGCAAATGGCCATCCTGATTGGCAGGGAAGTAGGGGGCTGGGGTGCCAAGCCTGCTGGGTCCTAATGCTCTGTGACAGCCCAGGGCTAGCGAGGTATCCATGTTCCCTGGAGAGGAAGCGCCATGGTCCCCGGGAGTCAGGAGCCTCAGAGGTGCACAGCATGCCCTTCTGGGCTCCCGCCAGTCTGCCTGGCACCACCTGTGCTACTGTTTCAGAAGCTCAGGGCCTGGAGCCTGGCAGGAATCTTTCCCTACAGCCCTGGCTTGTCCCAACCCATCCCGGGAATGAAGCGAGGAGAGGGCAAGGAGCCAACTAAGGGCTCCACCAGAACTTCTAGCCCACTGCCCCCTCCTGGAGCCAGACCTCAGTTCTGCACACACACACCCAGGCCTGAACCTCCAGAGAGCCCTTCATGACACAGGAGAACCCTTGAACCACCATGTAGGACTTCCCTCACCCCATCACCCGTGTGGTCCTCTCTCTGCCCACCCCCATGCCCAGACGCTGGGTCAGGAGACAGGCTGGCTACCAAGGAGGCCCCTGAGCTACCCTAGCACCCGACCCCGGGAAGGACCAAGCGGCCACCACTCACCACAGGTGTTGGCGTTTCCGTTCCAGAAGCCTAGTGCCAGGGCATCCCTATTTGTAGCTTCCCGAGGAATGAGGGCAGTAATTATGGGAGTCCCAAGTAGGTCAATGCTCAGGCTGCCCCCAGGGGCTCACCTGCACGCTTCCCCCAGCAGTCCCCATTACAGGCCCACCGCCCACTGTCCACGCACACATCAAAGGCCCGCTCTGGCCTCAAACACCACTCCCCATTCACCCCTCTCCCGCCCCCGAGTGGGAACTGGGGCCGGCGTCCTTCCAGCCATGGCTGGGCTAATCCCTCCCATCCCTCTCCCTGTCTCTTCACTCTGAAGAAGCACCCACAGCACAAAGTGGGGACACACGTTCGCCTCTTTTAGGTTGCACCCCAGAGCCTCCGTGCCAGGAGGCGCCTTGGCGACCATCGGGGGAAGCCCTCATCCACAAACGGGAAGAAAGGCCAAGGAGACCCCTCTTTGCCCGACCTCCACATCCCTTGCTGCTGCCTTGCTGGAGGCTGTGTGTGAACTGCTCGCTCCCCTGGGAGAGGTTACTGGGGGGTGTCCTGATGCCTAGGCAGAGGATGCTCCTCCTAGGGGGGCCTCCTGCGCCTGGGCTTGAGTTTTCTTGCCCTCCGCCCCAGGTGATGCGAAGGAACCTGGGCTTCAGACTCTGGAGAGCCACTTGGGCTGCACCCCTGAAGAGTCGCTCTGCTCTGCTCGGCACTTGGGCATCTCTGAAAAAATAGATAATTTTAATTGTATCCAGAATTTCCTCTGTTGTTGTTGTTGTTGTTGTTGTTTTGCTTTAGCAGAAATGACCAGATGCCCAGAAATGGAAAGCCTTTCACATCCGCTCTCTGTTCTCCCTCTACCCCTAAGTTCCCTGTTTCACAGAAAGAGACTGAAGACCCAGGAGAGCAGGGTGGGGTGGGGAGGGGACAACCAGGACAGGGAAGACATCCTCATGCCCACAGAGGCAGCCCGAGAACTAACGACACCTTGACCTCACCCCGGGGCCCAGCACCCAGCCTCGCCCGGGTTGTCACCTCCGCGGCCTCCACCGCCTGGAGACAGGGGCAGAAGGGAAGGAAAAGCTGTGATTCACCCTGTTTTATAGGCAGGGAGTTATGGGGAGCAGGGGAAGAGGGCAGAGACAGTCATGCCTCAGAAGTGGGAGCCACGTTGAGCCAATAATTAATTTGGTTCTAGGTCAATCACTTCTTCCCCCCTTAAGTGGGTCACTTCTGCTCCCGGGGCTTCCTCTGCCAATGATGGAGGACAATAGTAGTAACTACCACATAAGTTTGGTTGTGGGGCTTAAATGAGTTAATAAATACAATGCTCACGGAATAAATAGTTGCCCAGTACTTAGAAAGGGCCTATTAAACAAGAGGGGTTCATTGGCCCAAGGCCACATACCTAGTGAGTGGCAGGCTCAGGAGCCAGCCACTGTTCGTGTGAATATTCAGAGGCATCTGTACAGGCACCTGGCACCATGAACAAAAGGGATACAGTCCAGGGGCTGGGGTTGTGGCTCAGTGATTGATAGAGAGCTTGCCTAGCGCTGCTGAGGCCCTGGGTTTGATTCCTAGCACCACATAAAAAAATAAAATAAAATCAACAAAATAAAGGTATTGTGTCCATCTACAACTAAAAATATTTTTTAAAAAGACACAGTCTCTGCTCCAGGGAGATGAATCTAGTCGGGGAAACAGACAATAACAAATGAATGTTTAATAGGCTGGTGACATAATGTCAAGAGGGAAAATAAAGCAGAGTTACGAGAAAGAATATGGTATTGGTGAGAGGCTGCTTTAGATGGGTGGTCAGGGAAGAACCCCGGAGCCAGGCTCCCAAGTCCACGTGCTTATCTACCAGCCTTTAATGTTGCTGGACATGGCTGCCCTGCCCTGGGATAAGCAGCTGTGTTTGTCCCCTGGGAGAGCTGGGAGAGGCCAGGCAGACGGCAGAGGGGCAAGGAGCTCACTCTGGAAGGTGACTCCTGAGGGTGGGCTGGGTACAAACCCGTGGGAATTGGAGGACCGTCATGGAAGGAACCCCTGGCCAGACCCTCACTCAGAGTTCCACCGCTCTCCACCAACTGACCTCAGCACGTGGGCCTTTACCTTTTTAGGGCACTACTTTCTTGGCCTCTGAAATGGATCTGGAAGATTTCTACCTTACAGATCTCATGTGAAGCTGGTCGTGGTCCAGCAAATTGGGAGGCGAAGGCAGGCAGACGGCAAGTTCAAGGCCAGCCTGGGCAACTTTGTGAGACTGACTCAAGGAAGAAAAAAGGGCCAGGTGCGGTGGCGCACAGCTGTGATGCCAGTAGCTCAGGAGGCTGAGACAGGAGTCGTGAGTTCAAAGCCAGCCTCAGCCAGACCTTGTCTCAACATAAAAAAAATAAAAAGAGCTGGGGATGTGGCTCAGTGGTAAAGAATCCCTGGGTTCAATCCCCAGGACCAACAGAGTGGGGGACTGGGGAATGTAGCTCCGTGGTAAAGTGACCCTGGGTTTACTTCCCAGTGGAGAAAAGAAGAAGGGGGAGGAGACGGAGAAGACCAAGAAATCCAGTGTCGAAGGGCTTTGTTTCACTTGCTGTCACTGTGGGCCTTGTGAGAGGTCTCGGGGTCCCCCCGCCCATGCTGTCTGTCTGCGGTGCTTCCTAGAGCACTGTCCCCTGACCCCTTGTCCCCACTGTCAGTGCCATCGTTTCACCAGGTTCCCTGGAAATTGCATCATCCACCTAAAGGTCACTGTCTGTCCTGTGCCTCAGGGGAAAATAAAATGAAGTGTCCTGAGCACCTGGGCAGTCCCTGCATTTGTACCAAAAAGGCCTGAGCCCCGGGGACAGAGTGATCATTCCAATCCCATAGCCCCACGGGGCCAAAGAACCTTTCCCAAAGGCCTGAGCTCCTTTCTCATCTCCTGAGCCAAGTATGGGGGAAGCATGGGGAGGGGGATTGGATTACTGGAGATGGGGCTGGAGCCAGGCAGGACTCTCTACAGAACTCAGAAAAGAAGAACTGAGCTGGGATCCGGGAGTCTGAAGCTTAGACCTACCACTCTCTTTTGTTTTGTTTCCCCCTCCCCCCCAGTACTTTTCCCCCCAGCCATATCCCCAGTCCTCCTGTCTTTTTATTTATTTATTTATTTTTTAAATTTTGAGATCTTTTGAGAAGACAAGATCTTCTGAAGTTGCCCAGGCAGGCCTCAAACTTTTGATCCTCCTGCCTCAGCCCCCTGAGTAGCTGGGATTACAGGTGGGTGCCACCACACCTGGATATCTGTCTTTTTTTTTTTTTTTTTTTTGACTGCCAAGTCAACAGCTGACTACGTCCATTTCACAGTTCAATCACTTTTTCATGTCCGAGCTTGTAACTGAGAAAAAGCCTAAATAAACCCTCTAACTCCACTTGCTCTTAATTAACTTTAAAAATCACTCATTTTTGCCAGGCATGGTGGCGCACGCCTATCATCCCAGCCATTTGGGAAGCTGAGGCAGGAGGACCACAAGTTCAAAGCCAGCCTCAGCAATTTAGTGAGACCCTGTCTCAAAATAAAAAGGCTCAGTGGTTAAGCACCCCTGGGTTTAATCCCCAGAACCAAAAAAAAAAAAAAGATCAATAATTTTGGAAGTGATGTAACTGAACAATACATTATGAGTCTCCCACTAGCTTAGCCGCAGGTGACACTGTGTCATGTAGGTCATGGTGATAGCTGGGGTCTTTTCAAGGACTTACTGGCCACTTTTGCTAAAAATACTGACTTTTCACTTGCGGCTGTACAAGTGTCTGATCGGTGACTAAAACAGGATGGAAAAGTGTGACATCTCTGCTTCTTATTACATCTGACTCCTGCGCCTTGACTTTTGGTTAAGATTTCCTCTTAAGACAGTAGAGTGAATCGACATCACTTTCCTATGTTCATATCGGAATACAAAACCAGTGAAACTCTATGTCATGAACAACCCAAGAATGGAAAGTGATATTCCGTGTATGTTTGATATGTCAAAATACATTCCACTGTCATGAATAACTTAAAAAAAAAATAAAAAAGATTTCCCCTTTTTTTTTTTTTTTTCCCAATCTGACCATTGGGTCAGATTTTTGCTCAATTCCTCATATACACGTATTAGTCATTTAAGGAACATTTGTCTGGAACTAGTACAAGATTGATTTTCCCTAAATTTCCCTACTTTCTCTCCTCCCACTTTAAGGCTAAAGACACCAAGATAAAGATTTCCAAAACTGACAGGGGCATGGCGCCTTGTGATTACAGTATACACTGCAGCACCCCATTCCCGAGCTTGGGAGAAGCACATGGCCAACTGTCGCTGATCCTTCCCAAAACCAAGTAGTCCCCTCCCTTTGCCTAAGGATAAAAGGAGCCTGAAACCCAGACTAAATTCAGATGGCTGGGTCTCGCCACCACCCCAGGGCACTAGCCCATCCTCTCCTCTTGCCGGTGTTCCCAGCCTCTTTTCCTTGTCCCAACAACTTGTAATCAAGAACTGAGCCCCTTTTTTGAGCAACTAGTAAACAGACTTGACTTAGGTAAGAAATCTACCTTTGCCTTCCATTTCCCTTTTCTTGGACTGTTAATGAACTGCCGGGGGTTAACCCAAAGGAGCAAAGGCCAGTAGGACATCACAGGAGGTAAGAGTCCCTAACTCTCCTCCCAACAGCAGTCCCACAGGGAAAGGGAGAGTCTGGCCAGCAGGTCTTCCTTCTCTCTGCCTCAGCACAGAGATTTGGAGACAGGGGGGAAGAAGAACGTTGAGAGTGGCTAGAAAAGTGCAGTTTGTCAGTTTGTCAAATACCCAAGAAGAATGGACATTAGCTTTCTTTGGGACATGCCCAGCCGGGGACAACTCCAGAGGTAGTCAGCTGAAGCCAGTTTCCACCAACCAAAGCAGTTCCAGAATCCAGGGCTGAGAAGCCAGGACCCACGGGGACCAGAAGTCCAAAAGAAATCAGACTGCAGGACCCAGCCACCAGGGAGTGGCCCTGTCCCCCTGTTAATCAGACCGGGAAGACCAGAAGCATCTGACCTCTGGCCAGCCAGGTCCCTTCAGCTCACGCAAAGCCCAGGCTCTGGACTGGCCTGCAGGAAGAGAGGAAGGCCCAGTGCCCCCCAGTGCCCCGAGGACGTGCAGACTTTTCTTACAGACATGGCTCAAGTTCTTCTTTACCCTCTCTGGTCCATTTCCACATCGTGGTGTGCAGAACCAACAGCACATTCCTTGTCCAGTCTTGGGAGGATCCTGGGTAGGCCCCACAGAGCACCTGTTGAGAGGGGTGTTCCACAAACGGCTGATGCTGCGCCCCCTCAGTTTCTGCATCTGTAAACAGGGCCTAGTGATAGTTCCCGTGGGGTTGCCATGAGGCTGAGATGACAGGGTGCAGGAAGGAGCTCTGAGAACTGCGCAGAGATGCTGACCACCATCACGACTCCCCGCCCCGTGTCTACTCGCCCCTTCCCTGCAGGGTCTGAGGACAGTGGGCTTCTGTCTGCTTATGGCCTCAGAAAGAGACCACTTGTCCTTGCAGGCCGGCCCAGCCTCGCCTCACCAGGCTCAGTGTGCAGTTAAGGACGAAGAGTAGGTGAGAGCCAGAGGGTCTCCAGCGCCTTCTCCTGGGTCCTTTCCACCCTAGAGAACTGAACCTGAGCTACTCTGCACGTGGTTCCCAAGCAGCCAATTTCCCAGGGAAGGAAGAAAAATATACCAGGAAGATTCTGCTAGTACAAAAAACTAAAACAGGTGTCATTAGCTTTGGGACCAGGCCACGGGTGAAAGCTGGGAGGACCTTTGAAAGGTAGTTAGTTGGTAATAATTTGAATGACAGCCAAAAAAAAAAAAATTGTTCCTGCAGCTGGAGAAAAGGGAGACCCTGTTAGGTAGCGGTGAGATGTCTGGCAACACCATCATCTGGTGTTGATGGGGAATAGAAAAGGCACCTGATAACGTTTCTAGATCCCAGGCAAGAAGACTTTAGACAGAAGAGTGAAGTTGCCTGTCTGTCTCTTCTGGCTGCCTTTGATTAAAAATGAGAAGAGAGAGCTGAAGTGAACAAGGACCTATTTTGTTTTTTAGCAGAACTTAGAGGAAATACTGAGGTCCCATTGGAGTTTTTCCAGCCAGCAAAAGTGTCTCAAAGTCAGAAAGGGTCTCAGGGCAAAGGTCAACTCCAAGGCTCTGCCTGTGAAGGGGTCTCAAGGTAAGACTGAAATCAAAGGTGAGGCCTTTTCGTGAGACCTCAGAAAGATTTAAGGGGAACTTCCTAAGTTTTCTCAAATAAAAAATACAGCTTCTAGTAATTTTATTTATTTTTATTTCATTTATTTACTTATTTGCAGTACTGTGGATTAAACCCAGGGGCTCCTTACCAGTAAGCTAGGTTCCCAGCCTTTTGAGACAGGGTCTGGCTAAATTGCCCAGGGTAGGCTTGAACGCTCCATCCTCCTGCCTCAGCCTCCCAAGTCACCAGGATCACAGGTTTGCACCACTGCACCCACCGTTTTGGCTTCTAGTACTTTTAGAAGTGTGCCACTTGGACCGTTGCAGAGAAGGGCTTTTGAGGGTCTTAAGAACATTCTCTCACAGCACCCTGACACTCAGCCTAAGGTAAAAAGAGATCAGACGCAAAGAGATTTGTAGCTGTGGCTTTCATCTGATTATAAATTGGTGCACAGGGAGTCCACAATATTTTTAAAGGAATTGTATCATCTTGGAAAGAAAGGAACAGAGAAAACTCAAGAGAGAGAGAGAGAGTTTTGAGTCTTCAGCCTTTTATAGGGAAGAAATAGAGGGAGCTACTTACCTATAAAACAGACATTTCTCTCTCTTCTCATCCCCATCCCAAGTATTGAAGATGAACTCAGGGACACTCTACCACTGAGCCTATATTCACAGCCCTTTGTATTTTTTATTTTGAGACAGGGTCTTGCCCAATTACCCAAGCTGTCCTTGAACTTGGGATCCTCCTGCCTCAGCCTCTCCCCAAGTAGCCGGAATTACAGGTGTTCACCACCATGACCAGCCCAGACATTTCTTATGGAAAAAAAAGAGTTGACTCAGAACATGAAGCCAAGAGCCAGGATCCAAGAGAACCATGTATAGAGAGTAGCAAGCACTGGGCTCTATCAAGGAACTGATGACCTGTGTGTGACTCATTTCAGAACTGCACAAACCATGCCCAGCTAATCAGAACTTTCAAATGATCCACCCCAATTTCCAATACCAAGTGCATGAGACATCCTAAATGAGACCCATTAGCTAAGCCCAGGCTAGCCACAGAACCATTAGAGACAACCAATTTGTGTTTTAAGGCACCATACAGTGGGCTGGTTCATTGTACATCGACAGGTAACCCGTAAAGCATCTCTGAGCCACTGAGCCAAAAATGACCTACCTATCCAGACTGCTTATTGTGTAAGGCATTAAAATGCTGATTTATTTATGACATTACTAGTCAGGCTCTCTGTATGTAAACTAAATACATCACTAACTGGTAGAGCATTTGGTAACTAAAAGTAGAATCTAACAAGGAAAAGAACATAAAATGTGAAATTGGATAAAGACCACAAAGAAAACCATATGAAGACTGGAAGGTTGGTAACCCTTGTTATGACATGTCAAAGCGTCGGGTCAAAGTGTCACCTGATGTGCCTTAGGATGCAGAACCTGTGGCAACCTGGCCTACGGTTTTAGAGAAAATGGTAGGAGAACAAAAAGAATTTTGGCAGGAGCTAGCTCCCTAGGAGCTTTTAGCAGAGATCAACAGGGGAGGAATGAACTCAAAATAGAGCTAGCTAATCTGGAAGCAGATATGAAAATAAGTATAGCTTTTATGAAAATAAGTACGCCGCCTAGGGCCTACAATCTGACAGAGTCCTCAAAAATGAATCTTGGCAGGGCTGCTTAGGCTAATTCATGTCTCCCACCAGCTTCTAGGCCCACTCCTTGCTCACGGTATTGAAGTCTGTCCTTTGTTCTGAGGTTAGACACTTCTGGGTTGGAACTGAACTTTTCTTTTTATGAGATGTTAGGAATGGTCAATGGTATTTGCCTTTTTAAAAAATATCTTTATTTGGCGAAATAAAATGTTGAAAAAATATTTTGATTCCCAGATTTTTATTGGTGTCTGAAATCTCAAAACGAGGGCCGAAGGCACAGCTCTGACCTGGAGAGTCAAGGTGCGGAACGGGGTGGGATTCAGGAAGCCCCCAGTTCCCAGCACTTTAATTGAACCAGCCAAGTGACCGGGCAGCACTGAGCAATGAGAGTATTATCAACAAATAAAAATCTTTATTGAGTACAAAATTAAAAGGGATAGAGAGTCCTCCTGAACCCAAGAGATTGGTGGCCCAAGTCCTGAGTTCGTCCTCAGGGCCGGTCTGGGTAGCCCTGGAAGAAGTCATTGCACATGATGGAAATGAGGGCCAAGAAAACAGCATACTCCTGGAAGTCCACCTGCTGGTCGCTGTTCTCATCGAGGTTGCCCATCAGCTTCTTCAGCCCCTCCTCATCCACCTTCTCCTGAAAGCAGGAAGGACTGGGGTTATGGCCAGGCTGGCTCCTGCCCCACTCCGCACCAAAGCCACAGCCAGAACCATGCCCCCAAGCCAGGGCCCGGCGCTCCCTCCACTGGCTGCCAGGTACGTGGTGGGCAGGGAGACCCCGCAAGCTACAACACGCATCCAGTGAGCCAGACAGCTGGACCCTCTTGGTGAAGGTCTCCCGCACACCCTCCTGGGGGTAGGGGGATGCTGGACACACCTCTAAGTGCCCATCGGCTCTAACCCCCACTGTAGCCCAACCAGGTGGATATCATGACCCCATTTTGCTAAAGAGGACACAGGCTTTCTGCTCCCCCAAATCAGCATGGGATTCAGAAAAAGCAAATGCTCTTTATACAACCAAAATGATATGGAAATTGAAGGAAGGGAGGAAGGGACGGACGGAGGGAGAGAGGGAGGGAGGACGGAAGGACAGACCTGCCTCATATGGTCAAAGCCAGAGACCTGACTTTATCATTGGTCAGTACCAGGGTAGCAATGGGGAAGTGACTGCATTTCTCTGCAAAATGTCCCAGAGTGCATGTCTGTGCTGCGTTATTCTGTCTACATGCCCTCTTGGTTTGGCACGTAAATATGGAAAATAAGAGAAGAGGAGAGTACACAGGCTAGCTGTGTGATCTTGGGCCAGTCACTTTCCCTCTCTGGGCTTTGAGTTGCTCAACTCTCCAGTGAAGAGAATTGACAGATGGACTCTGAGGGTCCCAACAGCACACAGTTCTCAAGAATGCTGCAGGGGAGAGCCATAAACAGAATGCTCACACCCGGGCCTTGTTCCCACTCCAGTGAAACCAAGAAGCCAAAGTCGTGGTGGGAACCCTCGACCCCACCCTGGCCTCTGCATCAGCAGGCACCACAGGAGTGAAGAGGCAGAGACTTACCCTGCACCCCGCCCCGCGCCCCCACGACCCAACCCACCCTCCCAGCCTGCCCCCCTCACCCCTACGAAGCTGGGCAGCTCCTTCTGCAGAAGTTCCTTCATCTCCCCTTTACTCAGCTTGAACTTGTCTCCCTCTTGGCCAGAGTACTTGTGGAAGGTAGCGACCATCACCTCCAGCGCCTGCTCCAGGGGACTGGACATCTTGGACCTGGGGCCGTAGAAGTAGCAATGATGTTGATGTCACCGAGACACCTGGGGCCACAGCCCAGCCAGCAGGAGCCACTTCTGCCCTGGGCCCCCCCCCCTACTTCACCAAGCCCCTGTGTAAGTGGGGGCCCCATCTCGCCCTCACAATGTGGCTCCCGTGGGCAAGGGTCGTGCCGACACCTGGCATGAGGGCAGATGCTGAACCTTCCCCGTGTCCCCCAAGGGCACAGTCACACTAGGAACACCTCTGAGGGCAGGGCTCCCCCTCTTGAGTGTCTTGGGAAGGGAACTAACAGGGTGACCAGAGCCGTGCCAAGCTCCGGGGAGCACAGGTGTGCACAGGGCTGGCCGGTGGCTCCCTGCACCACCGGGCAATAGCCATGGCTCCCGGAAGTCTGTGGCTCCCTCCAGGGGTCTCTTCTGCCTTGGGCCAGGGCTGCCAACTGCCTGGGAGCCTCTGTGGCAGGGATGTTGCCTCCCTCGGACCAGGGGCTCTCGGAGTCGAGGACGTGTCTCCTTGCTCACCCGAGACCCTCAGTCCTGGAGCGCTGTGTGTGCTGGCAAGACTCGGGCAGGGCAGGGGCCACCGAATGCCCCCACCATGAAGGACCTCGCTGGGATTAGAATTAAAGAAACTAAACATTTCGTGCCTTGGGATCCAGGTAGAATCTGGGGTCACAAGGATGGACCTTAGAGGGCATTTTCCATTTGCCACTGAGAATGCTGAGGTCAGCCTGCAAAGTCAGGCAGGTCCCAGCGCAAGGCCAGAGGAGCTGTCCTGGAGGCAGGGAAAGCCCTGGCCCCGCGGCCAGCCCCGCCCGCCAGCCTGCCCTCACCTAGGTGAGGGAGCATGGGGAGCAGCCAGCCGGGCAGAGCTATGCCGCTATTCCAGGCCAGAACCTGGGGTGGGGCCATGTGTCGGAGACCCCTGCTTCTTGTTCCTCAGCCTTACGAAGGATTAGCCAGGACTTTGCAAAAACAAAACCAACTCAGAATTCTCGTTAAAGCACCCCTCACACACAGATCAGCTGCCCTTGGGCTAGACCCCCGAAGAAGGACTCCTACAGAATAACAGGCCCCGACCAAGAGACCCGAGGGAAGGCCTCGGATAACCCCCAAACTGAGACCTCCCGGAAGAACCTGGAGAAAGACCCCTCAATCTGACTCACAGAGGGTCCCCCCAAGTGGCTCAAGGCCAATCCCACCGAGGAAATCAGACAGAGAACTATGGAAACAAGGGTCGAGTCGGAGACGTACTCACCAGATGGGGTGGCAGAGACCCAGGAGGGAACAAAGCGCCAGGCACTCGGGAAGGGGTTTTATATGTCAGTCCCACAGCCTCAGACTTAGCGCTTTCAGGAAACAGAACCTGTTCTGGCCTGACTGCCCCACAGCCTGGCCTCCTGCCACCCCACTCACCCTGTGCTGCCCCCTTCCTCCCAGAGATTGCTGGGTCCTCCACCAGCTGGAGGAGGGCCCCCCGCCAGCTAAGGGCAGCCCCTGAGCCCACCCAGGGCAGGGCAGCTAGAGGGAGATGTCATGGGAAAGGGGCAACATGGGTCAGGGGTCAGAGGCTGCTCGGCCTGGTTCTCATGATGTGCCTGTGAGTCACAGCTTGCTCAGCCACCTTGGTGACCCAGAGTAGGCGGGAAATTCGCAGCCCCAAGGTCATGTGTATGCATGTGTGTGCATGTTTGTGTGTGTGTGTGTGTTTGAGCATGTGTGAGAGAGAAGCCGACCAGCGCTGCCCTTAGAAAGCTGGGGACCAGAGAAGGCATCTGGGGGGCATCAAGAGGAGGAGGTCAATGCTGACTTCAAGAAGTGAAAGAAATAAATTTTTGTTTGTTTGTTTGTTTGTTTGGTACCAAGGATTGAACCCAGGTGCACTTGACCACTGAGCCACATCCCCAGACCTTTCCATTTTGAGACAGGGTCTTGCTAAGTTGCTTAGGGCCTCACTGAATGGCTGAGGCTGGCTTTGAACTTGCAATCCTCCTGCCTCAGCCTCCTGAGCCACTGGGATTACAGGCGTGAGCCACCGCACCCCACCTAAAATTACTTCTCATGTAACTTTAAGGTAACAAAGTGATTGGGTGCGATTAAAAATACCTCACAGTGAGAAATGGGGATTGCTGTGCATGCAGCCTCAGTTAAAGTGGAGCAAACATCTGTGTGGAGCACAAGGGAGCCCCCTGGAGGGGTCCAGGCAGAACAGGAGAACCCTAGGCTCCTCTTCTCCAGCTTGGAGAGGTGGGGGAGTGGGTGGGGAAGAGAACCCTACCTGAAGCTGGAAAGAGGGAGTTGGGTAGTGTCCCCAGCCAGGAGGCCAGGCCTGAAGCAGAGGCCCAGCCACATCCTCCCTCACCACCCCCAACTCCCCGCCTGCCCTCTCCAAGCCCAGAGAAGGGTGAGCACTGTGGCCTTCAAGCCAGCCCAGGGGAGAGGTTTTTAGGAAAGATTCAGCTTTACCACCACCCCTCCCAGGGCACCCACCTCCTGCACTCTGTGTACCCTAAACCTAGTTGGGCACCGCCCTTCCTGTCGGCCTAGCTCCCCTCCCCACTCCAGATGTCGAACAGATTTTCCCTTCCCCCAACCCCCCCCCCCCCCCCCCTTGGTGACTCACCCGTGGTTCCAGACCCAGATGCCCAGGCAGTGACTCAGCGGCACGCCCTACTCCCCCAGCGCCACGGCAGCAGCAGCCGGAAAACCCGGGCCAAAGTACTGGCATGGAGACCCTCCACTGAAGGACCCAGGTCTAGATATGGATGGTGGCACCGCACAGCCAGAGCAGACCAGAGCAGAGAGGTCAGACCCGAGCCGGGCTCGTCCTTCCTGGGGGCCACTGTGAGACTTAGGGGTCAAGAGGAGCAGGGAGAAGAAGTGGGTTAGGATGAGGGCAAATGGGACGTGGTGCACAGCCATTGTTCCATCTCATGGGGGCTTCAGAGGGTCCCTCCCTACTCAAACTGCACCGGCTCTTCCGTAGGGCCAGCAGCGAGGTGCTCCACACTCCGGTCCCCCCTGCTTTCCCACCTCCCTGATGATGCCCAGCTGCCTTGCTCACTGAGCACGTCCAGGGCTGGACACACCTGCCGTGACCCAGACCCTTGGCTGATGACATCGCTTTGCTCAGCATGTGCCCCCACACACACCCACATTACGTCCCCTTCTGCCAAGATCCCTTCTCCCCTTCACAGAGCCTTCCCAGGCCCAGCCAGATTCGGTTTCCACCTGTTCTGTCCCACACAGAGCCTTCGGGAGCACTCCCAGCTACACCGAGTCTTTTGTGTACCTGTTTTCTTTTGCCCTCCACGCTCATGGTGAGCTCACCAAGCAGGGACTGGGCCTGATTCGTTTCTGCATGAGCCAAGGGTCTCACCCACACCAGGTGCTAAGCAGGTGTTTACGACCGCTGAATGGCAATGAGGGTCACTGGGGGTGGCATCTAGGAGCCAGGAGGTCAGGGAGTTGTTCTCACCACCTGAGGTCACACCACTGATGACACTAGCAAATAATAACGTCTCCTCTGGGTCCCAGGAGTGGAACTGAGGCATCAGGCTGGAAAACAGAGCTTCAGAGAGCTACAGCTCCCTGAGGAGTGACCACAGGAAACGTCCCATCACGGGGACCAGCTAAGGAGCAGAGCAAACTCCCTGGTGGGGCGGGATGGGGACAGGAGGCTACAGAGAGAGACAAAGAGGCAGTCATGGAAAAAGAGAGAAAGAGAGAGGGTAAGGAGGGGAATGAACCTAGGGATGCTTAACCACTGAGCCATATCCCCAGTCCTTTTACATTTTTATTTTGAGACAGAGTCTTGCTGAGGGGTTGAGGCTGGCCTCATATACAGGTCCCTTCCAGTGGGAAAGAGAAGTTGGGGGAAAGGCCAAACAAAACGGAATGGGGCCGGAGTGACTGGTTTGGAACCAGAAGGGGGAGGGGGCTATCAGGAGTCCCTGCATCAGGAGGCTTGTCCATAGCCAGGTGTCTCCCCTCAGGAACTGAAGCCAGAATTGTGCCCACCCAATGGCGATGCTTTGCGTCTGTGAAAATCAGACTCACTTGCCACCAGCTTGCTGTGTGACCTCAAGCAATTGTTCCACCACGGCGGGACAGGTCTGTTGGATGAATGAGAGGCCTGAGCCTGATCCTGTTCCAACATTCTCCACTTCTCTACAGGCAGAGAGGCAGGACACAGGCAGGCAGTGGGGATGCCCAGGGCAAGGATGTCCAGCTGGAGAAACTGGACCTTCGCATTCCATCCACGCCCTGGTCGTGCTCCAAGTGGCACAAGTGTTGCACCGGCGGCCGGCTTGCTTTTGCCCGACTGGCTCATGCCCCCTGGTGGTGGCGACCTGTCATTGTCATTGCAGCGCTGGTCTCGGCTTCCGACTTCCCCACCGCTTCTCCCTCTGGTGGCCAGCCCTTCCCAGGCCCTGCTCCTGACTCAGCCTGGACCAAGCCGCGCTGATTCACCTCTAAGGAGCCTTCCCACACCCACACCTGCCTGGCTTCAAAGGAGTTTCCTAGCAGTTCCTGCTGAGAAGCCCAGGTGGGCTGGGATTCCCCAGAAATCATTTCAAGTGCTGAGAGATAGTGGGTCACAGTGCATGGGCCTGTGGTCCCAGCAACTCAGGAGGCTGAGGCAGGAGGATCACAAGTTCGAGGCCAGCCACGACTCAGTGAGACCCTAAGCAACTCAGTGAGACTCTGTCTCTAAATAAAACACAAAATAGGGCTGGGGATGTGGCTCAATGGTGGAGTGCCCTTGAGTTCCATCCCCAGTACCCACCTGCCCATACCCAAGAAGAAATAATCACTCCAGAGTCACAGGGAACTTTTGATAAAGAGGAATTGATAGTAAAGTAACAAAGTCTGGATGTCTATGGAGCCTGTGTTCCAACCCTTCCAAGGACAGCATCACAAACTGGGAAGTGCCACTCAAAAAAAAAATGGCTTCTAAAGCGAAGAATATTGAAGTTGAAAATAAAAATAAGCGGTCTGCTGTCCCACTAGACAAGTTGGAACCTATGGCTCATATACAAGTCCCTTCCAGTGGGAAAGGGCTGTCCAGAAATTTCACATTTCTCATAGGGTGACCCACATTAAAGACCTCACTGAAAAATACCACATATCCCTTCTGGCAACAGCTCTTCCTATTCTAAAATTGCTAGGTAAAATATATACCCTGGTAGAAACAGATTCAGAGAATGCTCAGGAAAAAAAAATGACTCCAAAATACACTGCTGAGCCTTTCAGAGAACTTTCATAGCGTGTGTGTTTCTGCAGCCTGGGGACTGATCCCAGGAATGAACCCACAGGTTAAGCAAGTGCTCCACCATAAGCTACATCCCAGCCCCCTTTTTTTTAAAAGTCATTTATAGCATTGATTTTTAATAAACTAGGTAGAAAACTTGCAGAGAAATGATGGTTGTAAGTGTCAACATGCCAACCATGAAGGAAAGAAGTCAGATTTCCTGAACTTTTGGTTCCACTAAAAGGAAAGAGAGTTACTAATTAATTCTCTTCTTATTGTTTCTTCTCTCTCTCTCTCTCTCTCTCTCTCTCTCTCTCTCTGTACTGGGGAATGAACCTAGGGATGCTTAACCACTGAGCCACATCCCCAGTCCTTTTACATTTTTATTTTGAGACAGAGTCTTGCTGAGGGGTTGAGGCTGACCTCAGCTGCCTGAGTTGTGGGGATTACAGGCAGGTGCCACTGTGCCCTGCCTAATTAACTCTCTTCTGATGAGAAGATTTTTAAATAAATTTCTTAACACAAATTAGGACAACACATGACTGGAAACTATATTCAATTCACTTTTTCCACAAAACTACTTAGAAATAAAAAATATGCTTATTTTCAAATACCAATTAATCAACACAAGATATATCAAATAGCTATATCATTTGGAATCTTAAAATGGTAACAATTAGCAAATACGTTCACAGCAACAATCATTCAAATATCATTCTCAGACATCAGAGATTTATTACATGTTAGCTGTCTCAGAGTTTTTCAGTGGTAATACATTAAAAATCATACATGTCGGATAAAAGCATCAGTGCAATTATTTTATAATTCAGTTGCAATCAAAATGCTAGCAGGGCCTGTTTTCTCCACACATGCCAAAAATCAGTTTCTATAATGGCAGGATACACTCAAATATTAACTTAGCTATGCTTTCTAAAAATAATTTGTTCAAGAAATATTCTTTCTCCAACTGGGTGTGATGGCACAAGTGTAATCCCAGCATTTTAGGAGGCTAAGACAATAGGTTCAAAAGTTTGAGGCCAGCCTCAGCAATACAGCAACATAAAAGGGGTGGTGGGATGTAGCTCAGCAATAAAGGACCCCTAGCTTCAATTCTCAGCACTGAAAAAATATATATGCATTTATTTTTTATTATCTCTCCAGGAACCCCAGTTCATCTCCTTTCTTTTTTATTCTCTTTCAAAATTAGGGACTTGTTTTTAGTAACATTTGAGATCAGTCATTCATTTGCCACTACATTAAACTTAGAGTTTAATGCCTATGTTATCACTAATTAACGAATATTATTTAAAATGAGTCCCACAAAATATGATTTTCTACCCCAAATGTTACAGTCACCTTGTGAATACATTAAAGGATTATTTATTACATTCTGTTGTCACCAAGGAAAATATGCTTTGTAGCTTAAACAAAAACTAGTTCAACTTCAGTATTTCACTGTCATATTAAATCTCCTGGCCTGAAAAAAATAAAAATAAAAACTTTTAAAAGCATGACCTTTTTTCTGGAACATTTCCTGCACCACTAAGCACCAGAATTGGGAACTTGCCGTCTCCCCAACTCACCATTCCTTAGGGAATGTCAGTGTACAAAGGCCCACAGTCCCTGAGTTCTGTCACCTGACATCTGATTCAAGAGAGCCTGGGACGCTTCCAAACTGGCTACCAATTCTTCGTGGCCTCCCCGCAGCCAGAGGCTGGCTGCCGTCCCAGCAAGTACATGGGTCTGGGTGTCAGGCAGGCTGGAGTCTCAAGCCAGGCTCCGCCATTTGCCAGAACAGAGAGCCAAGAAAGGACAGTGTCTCCGGTGAAACTAGTGCTAACAGAAATCTACATAAATCAGGGTGATTAACCACCTTCCCAGAAACACCCAGCTTGAGAAATATGTTTTACTGTGTCTTGATAAAGCCAGGGAACGTCCTAAGTCTCAGAAAAAGACTAGAGGCAGTTTCAGAAAAAGCAAGGTGACTCAGAAGTATAAGCGGTGGTTTTTAAAATTATAGGGTATTACTCATGAGGAAGTGATCCCAAGAAAGACATTTTAAAAGATCAACTTGTAATACTAGAAAATGGCTGTGACACAGGGGTTAAGACTTGACTCTACCATTTCTAATTC